ATCAAGTAAGAATGGAGAATTGATGATCAGAACTTGAAAAAACTCAACGATGAGATGTAAGTTTTACCTTCCATTTTATGACCAGTTTTTAGGTCTGGATCATTTAGACCAAGGGTGCAGAGACCAGAACTTAAGATCACCCATGTGTGCCATGGTACTGTTGGCCTATCACAGTGTAATAACTTATTACCTTGGTAAGTGGTTAGATTTATCAGTAGAATTGATAAGTTCACGATGTTTAATAGAACGAAATCGCCATTGTCAAAAAATGTGTAGCAAAAAGCAAGATCCCAGGGATTATATTGCATGTAAATATTATCTACAGCATACGTAATGGTACAATTACGTAACAATAATTTACTTTAGAAGTGTACTGTAAAAAGGTGCGAAATTAAGTCAACAACCGGTTGAAACCTGGAAAAGGCGCGAGGTGTATGCAGCGTCAATTGACTACTATTCTGGCTGCAGAAGATCATGTTAAAAGCAAATTATCTTCAAGCTCTTGCTGATTTGTAAGCGCACGGAGGTCTGTTTTTACGAACTTGAACAAGCGCTTCTGCTGACACATGAGCATATGAGCCATACAGTAAATCTCACTATTCCAGGTTAGCGTTTTTCTCTCTTTCATTAAGATCATAACATTTTAAAAATGAAGACGTTGCAACAGCTTCCTACTTTATTGTGGTAATAATTCGCTTTTTGGTATCGTACAGTGTACGTTGACATTTATCAAACTGAAGCAAATTGCGACGATAGGAAGACTTCACAGGTTCACATACATTTTCCCTGAATTCTCAAATTTTACAAACGGGCCTAATTTCGTCGGAACCGCTTTCCTATTCGGGTGGTCAGAAATATATGGTGATCGCTTCTTATCAAAGAACAGAAAAAGTTATGTTGGAAATTGCATTATATACATTATCATTCTTGTGCCAAGAATGTTGAATTCAAGGGCTTTCTCAACACCCTCTTAAAGTTGACGTACACGGAGTCTAGTTGCGTGCTAAATGCCAATAGGAAAACCACTGTAACGAGGTTACCGCTCTCAAGCTAAGAACGTGGTATCACAAACAACTCCCTCGAGTCAGTCAGATTCGTACGCACTTTTAGGACATACTCTGAGGGAAGGCTGACCCTGTCCAAACCAGGCAACAATTATTTGAAACAAAGCTTCTCTTATAGCGGGGCCATGTTATGGAATAACTTGCCCAAAAGCTTAAAAATGCTTCATCCGTTGAGCATTTTAAGCGAAATATTAAGGTAGTTGATATATCGGATTTCCCACACGGCAGTCATGTAAAGCAGTTGTAATTAGCCTTAGTTTTTAACTTGAGCTTAACTGATGATTTCCCGTGTTTAAATAAAGATTTACATACATACATACATACATACTTCTGCCTACAGCAATTAATTCTAAGAATTATTGATGCCAGTATCATTCTACCTTTAAGTTGGTCAAGTTCTCAGTCAAGTTGTTCGAGTTTGCATTCGCCTCATTGTCTTCCTCGTGCTCTTCCTCATTGTCTTCCACGTGCTCTTCCTCATTGTCTTTCTCTTTCTCTTCCTCGTCGTCTTCCTCACTATCTTCATTAACCTCGTTTTCTAGAGGACTTCCCAAACTGTCCACCTCCTCCACGTTCTGTATATTCCGAATTTCTTCGAAATATTGACCTCGAATGTTTGGGGGCTGCATCAACTCTTTCAACCTTATTGTGTGTGGTCCGTCTTTTCCTTCCGAAATATCTCGCACGATGCAGGCGACGTGGACGTAGCTATTGAACATTTGGTCTCCCCTCGGTGTAACATCAAATGTAGTTGTAATCTCAATCACCTTGGTGAAATTCCCGCGGAAAATAAGCATCATACTTGGTATACCTCCTTGTTCATCGACGGCTAAGACACCGACCCTATTTCTTATTAGGAAATGTGGGTAGAGCTGATCGTACTTGCTCCAATAGTATTCTGCTGTATCCAAGTCATCTGCGAGTTGGAAAGGCTGTTCTCCGAAACCCTGCCTAGCCAGGTTGCCCGCGTTCCTACGACGCGAGTGTGGACGGGCCTTCGGCCACAAATTTCGCGCAATGCCCACCGCTTCCAGCATGCACATACGTACAATTGCTGATGCCGTTCGACTAAATGCTGAGTTAGCCATCTCCGCTCTCTGACCACCAAACAAGAGTCTTCGATCCTCTTGTTCATCATTACTTTCTATATTTCTAATACTGGCACTTTGACTGTGCGTAGCATGCAATCGATTTCCGTGGTTTAACTCATTGAGAACGTTAAGGACTAAATTGAACGCTGGGTCCGTTTGAACGAAGGTTGTCTCTTCTTCCATCATCTTTTTCGTCGCGATATGGTTACTGAATGTTGTTCCGCTTGCACGATTCACCGAACAGGTTTTGTCATAAATGCTTTCATCTGATTGGCCTCGCTAAGCTTCATATTTTCCATAATGGTTTGTAAAGTGAGTCGCTTGACAGGTTTCGATCGTAAACAAATCGAAATAAAAATATGACTAATGGTCGTGGGTCGTGGGTGTGGGTGTGGGTAAGAGTCGTGGGTGTGGTTAATACTTAATAATAAAAATAACCATTTAAAATATTAAATATGATAATACATAAATTTTATACAACCCTGTCATTCATTAATTTAACTGTTCTTTCTTCTAGTTATTTTATTTTGTTTATTCAATTTACCCTACTTTACGTCTATTTTTATCTGTTATCTCACTGTCAATGAAATTAGTTTCAGTTTCGCGACGGGAAGAGAGATAAATCTTGTAATTACATTAAATTAGTTTCACAACACGATAATTCCGGATCTGTCACCAGCGCGATCGCCGACGAGCGTCCATTGGTCGGCTACTCTGGGATTTGATTTTTCCCTTTTTCTGCTTTTTAGGGTTGTTGTCAAGGGAAATCCACAGGACATTCTTTTGTTCTCTTGCGGTTTTCAAGCCCCAGACGATAAAACTTTCCCGAGGTAATTTACTTAGGGAAAAATCGGTCACACTTGCAAATTTGAGTTTCCCTAGGACAAAACCCTGTAGTGTGACAACAGCTGATATCGCGTTTACGATCCTCCACTGTCGAGTTACCAGTCTGGCAGAGGTTATGTGTGTGCCTTTTGAGTCAGTCGACTTGTGCACAATCAGTTTTCCTTTGTGTATACAGTGTGTAATTACCAGATTTATCTATCATTCTTTTGTCATTGATGTTGTCAGACGAGATCTCGGAATTTCTGTTCCTTGGCCCCTGACTTTAGCCGCAAATATAGAATTCACGAGCGCTGTCGCAATTTTAACGTTATAGTACTTCTACTATATGAAATCATTTTTGGTACAATCGTACAAAGCAACTCAGGTGTCTCGTTAACACAGACCTCGAAAACGCAGAACGCAGACCGCAGACCGCACAGCTCGAAAAACGTGTACACAGTGTGTAATTACAAGATTTATCTCTCTTCCCTTTGTTATCAAACGAGATCTCGGAATGCGTCGCGAAACTGAAACTAATTTCATTGACAGTGAGATAACAGATAAAAATAGACGTAAAGTAGGGTAAATTGAATAAACAAAATAAAATAACTAGAAGAAAGAACAGTTAAATTAATGAATGACAGGGTTGTATAAAATTTATGTATTATTATATTTAATATTTTAAATGGTTATTTTTATTATTAAGTATTAACCACACCCACGACTTTTACCCACACCCACACCCACACCCACGACCCACGACTTGTACCCACGACCCACGACCCACGACCATTAGTCAAACTCG